AGATATTTATAAAGTGTCTTCTAGAAATAAATACGAACATAACTATGGGATCAGAATCCCATACATAACAGCTAACAATAATATCCTTTCTGTGAGCGCATGAACATTGCAGATCAACCTGTCTGAGAGCTGAACCTTTATGAAACCATGTCACAATCTATAACATGATCATATAATATGTTTAAACTATTTAAACGGGGAAAAGTCGTGGTCAGGTCCTTTTACAGGGAGCGAGTGAAAGACAGAAGGAGAGGAAAAGAATTCTGAATGCTCCTTTCATACTTCCGTTCGACGTCATGATTTAATTGTGACGTAATAAAGGAGCGTACAGGCGGAATCAGCCGCCACCAGAAATAACCCACGTTAGAGCTCTTACTATTTTACAGGGAATGTTGTTGCAAGCTGTTAAAATGTTTAGAATGCATATAAAATATTTTAAATGTTTTCACTGTTATCTGTCGAGTATTAGCTATTTTGCAGTAAAGATAGCTAATACATGAAGCCAGTTCATTTAGATTTTTTTTGTAACGACTAACTCAGATAAAATCATAATAAATACACATGAATGAATACAAGCTTTCGGTTTTGCTTAACGGGTAATTTTTATATAGCCTACCGAAATCGAGAAGACAAAAAATTGTAATACTTTTTTGTTGTTAAAAAAATAGTTATAAGCATAGTAAAACGTTGTCTTTTGCGTTTTTAAACAGAAATAAACCTGATAATAAACCTGAAATCTAATAACGTTTTAAAACGTTTTTGCAATTTAATAGAAACGAAAAATATAGCCTAAACAACATCTGAAATGTAAAAGAAACAACTGATCATCTCTGTCTCAAATATTTGTGTGTGTGACAAAAATGTGCCAAAATTACGATAAAGACTAATATTTTAAGCTATGATCGAGCTGTGAAAATTAAGACACTGCATAGGAATTTTGTAGAATTTTTTTTTTTTTTTTGAATATCTCTATTTTAACTCTTCAGTTTATCATATAGTGCACATAAAACTGTTTTTAAAATGAATGTGGCTATAGGTCAGAACTGTTTTAAGAACTAATTATAATTCGAATGTTTTGTGTGTTTTGAATAGAATAAGTCCTTACCTTATAATGAAACCTCAGTTGTATTGGTCTTTGTAAGAACAATTGATTCAGCAGCAGCCTTCACTTGTAAAACTGAGAATGAAGCGTTTAAAATATCCTCCCCTCATACTTGATATTTACCTCTGATTATTATCCAATCGGTTTAAAAAACGGTCGGGTTTGTATTGGCTTCGGTGGATAATTTTGGAGAGATGGAGGATTGAACGAATGCAGCATTAAACCAAAAGAAAGGAGAAGAGCTGAATAAACTCTGTGAACTCTATTGACAACTATGCGTTTCCTCAGGGGTTCGGCTGGGTGGGGGTGGGTGAGGTGAAGGTATGGCGGATCCGAACTGCTCAATACATCCAAACAGACCCTCCAATCGGTTGGTTTTGTAGCACAAATCACCTCTGTAAACCTTCTGCTGCAAACTCACTTTATTACTGGGTTAAACTGGGATCTTGTCTCCTAGCAGTGTTGACAAAATGATTTCAATTGAATTAACTGTATTTAAGCTTAAAGGAATATTTTTATATTCACTTTGGAGGGAAAGTCGAAATAAATGGCTAATCTGAAGACCCAAGGGAGTGTTTTGGGGTTCATCTTATTCAGTATGTGTTTGAAAGTTCTTGTAAGTGAAATTCAGTTTTTTTTTCGCTTATTTTGCATTATTTACTTATTTTGCATTTCAATAGCACCTATTTGCATAGTCCTGATTTAAAAGATAATTTCACATGTGGGAAACATTCTTCTGGTGTTTGATTATGAGTTTGGATTTGAAGAATCAGTGTCTAAACTTTGCTCTGACAGAGAGAAAAAGTTTGGTTTGTTTATTTAAAAAGAAAACAAGAGATCTTTCAGACCTTAAACTTTAAAAGTTGAACTCTTGCTAATCAAAAAAAAGTTTAACCCTGGCTAATGAACAATTCAGGATTGAAACAATTAAAATGTTAAGCAATATTTATGGATTTAGTGTGTATTACTGTTTAATCTCCTTTATGCACAATTTTACATGTAAATTGAATTACAAAAGTATGTTGTCATGGTTTTAATTTAAACTTAATGCATTTATGACTGTTAGCATAATCGATACTTCTATGTAGATTTAGGGAAGTTTTTAGAGTGTTGTTATTCAGTCCAGCAATAAACTTAACAAGTCAAAATCAATTAACATTTATATGTAATAGTATTCATTGGAAATTTATATAAATAACAAGTTTGAATAACCTGCTGATGAATTACGCCTCGCTTTTGCTTGTTTTATTTTTCTAAACTCTACACTCACAAGCGTATTTTTACCTCAGATCAATATTCCTGAGTGCTGTTCATTTAAATGACTTTCTGAAGTCACGCGGACCCGTTTTGCGTTCCCAGTAGCTAGACATAAACCACCGAGGATCATCTTTATTTATCTGTCTGTCCTGGAACTTATTCGATGCTTGCGGACTTGAACGGGATCAAACTGGGACATTTAGGGTGTGTCCGTGACCTCGTTGGACGTGTTTCCCGGAGCTCGCGGGGCCGTTTTATGAATGGTAATGATGGGAAACCCTCGTGCAGGAAATGAGAAACTCCGTATCATCTGACACCGGTGACCAGATCCGTGACCTGCGCCGTAATGGCACGACCACCAGCCATCTCTTCCACACACCAGCAAACACACACACACAGCATCTCCGACAGCAGAACTGGTGCAGGGTTTGGGGGATTGGGGGCAGGGGTGAATTCCGGAGGGTGGTCGGCATGGATGGGTGGGGGTGGGTGAAATGGGCGGAGCGTAGAAGCGGTGGGGGTAGTTGTTAATTCACTCCTCCAACGTGTTTTTCCTCTGACTCAAAGACAGAGAAAAACATCCTCTGCCAAGGCATCAGGTTTGATCACGAGCTTGTCAGAAACGTTTACTGTACGAATGTCTTGTAGAAACGAAAACATCACATTTTTATAACAGGAGATTTCACTTGTCAATTTTCCATTAGCCTAATCTTTGCATTTCAACTTGTTGGTTTAATGCACATTTGATTCGTTTTTTTTTTTTTTGAGTAGGCTACTGTTCACTCAGATAGCTCCTATTCAAAAGAACACAATAAGCACAGAAACAGAAAAAGTATGTGAAAGTATGATTGCATTTCATCCGTTCCATATTTTCATTTTTAGAACATTCCATTTAGGCTATATGGGTTACAACCAATGTGTATGTTTACCATGTTTTATCACATTATATACCAGGAAAAAGGTGGGGTGATTTGCTAGTTGTTTTTTTGGATCAATGCTCTCTTTTCATGAATCAACAGATCATGTAGTTTGAAGGCTATATATATATATTTATAGCCTATACTGTTGCAATACACTCTATATACGTATATTTTATGTCTTCATGTTTGTTCTTTCTATATGTTAATTGATGTAGGTATCATCATATAGGCTATATATTTTCAAGTGCGCAAAGCTGATGTAACCCAGAAAAAAATCCATGTGTGTGAGGACTTGGTCAATAAAGATCTTCTTATTCTAAATCAGTCTCATTGACGTTTGTACTGCAGCAAACAACAAATGCAAACTGCAGTGTGCTTGAACAAACGATAATTAGCTAGTGATCTCATTTCTCCCGAACTATAATATGGAATGTTTTGGAAACGTTTAAACAAAAGCAGAAAGACAGCAACAGCAGAAGAACAAAAATATCTTTAGTAAATTTGAAAGGAAACCAAATGCGTGCATAAGAAACGTTTCCGTCTTTTTGGTTAATGACATAAAGGTATAACTTAAAACAACTTTACATAATAGGCTACGACGATTATTAGTCTAGCCTACAGTTTAATGGAATAGTAGGCTACAGTTCTAGAAAAAAATCTACTACCCTCTGTATAAAGAGATACATTCTGGAAAACTTTTGTTGTTGCATTTCGCTACAACAAGCGAGAACATTAAAAATGAAGTGTTATACAAGCATTTACTTTCATAAGACTATAAAGTATTATGACTGTTGTTACCAGCGGTTGGAATTTGGTTACATAACGCATCATTAAAATTGTTACATATAAAAAAAATAAAAAAATAAAAACTAAAATGCTGGACTTTTTATGGTCTCTCGAATGACTTACGGAACACGCACAAAACCGATTTTAGACGTCATAACACGCGTTAGAAAACTGAACCTGATGCTTTTACGTGACGCAGCTGTAGAGCTGAAGTCCAGCCCGGTTCCGAGTCCGCTCCCTCTCCCGGGCTCACGGAGGAGTCACGTGTGCAGCGCTGTGAGGGAGCGAATGAGAAACGGAGAGCGGGAGAGAGCGAGAGAGAGCGAATGCGCGAGGGAGGGAAAGAGAGAGGGGATAGGAGATGTTAAAAGAGACATGACAAAATATCTAAAAAGGAGACGCACGCCGTACCATGCGCGCTAAATTTGTGCCCGCTGGAAATCGGGATGTCGGATCGACGGTGACGCGTATCACCCCATTTCACGGAGGAAACGATTTCGCTGGAACTTTGGAACGGAGGGTCCGTGGGGAAACATGGCCGAAGGTTACGATGCTTTTTTTTTTTGAAACATCTCTTTTCACGCGAACTCATATTGTCCACCGCGTTTTTTACGTTGTTTGTACGTGCGATGAAGAGTCGTTTGAGCCAGCGGTAGTGGGGGGGTGGGAGCAAATACGGGGGGGCGGGTAACGTGTGCACACCTGCCCCACGCCAGGCCGTTCACATACGGTAGATGTGCAAGAAGTTACATAGTGTAGCTACTAACTAGGCACATTGAGCAATAGCTATGTTCTGCGCCATCCCATCTGAAGTATAGCTCTACTTTTCATGAGTTTCTCTAGTTTTCCAGAGGGTGGGTTGTAGACAAGGGTGTAAGAATATATACAAGGTTAAGGTACCGAAATGTAAAAGTATAACAGTCTGTCACTGAAAACCCCCATATATTAATTGATTATAAAGAAACGGGGGAGTCTGTAGTGGTGGTTACGGCCCTGGTTGAAGACACATCGTTGTATTGAATGCATGTTGTTGAGTAGTAGTTGGGGGATTTCCCTCAGAAACGCTGCCCACGCAGACCCACGGTCATTGTGTACACACCTAGAACAAAGTATAGGCTACATCTCAAACATCAGCACACAACATCATAGGCTTTTCTCCCTTGACCGCACAGGAGGGCCGCGCAAAGGTGTCGGGTCGCCGCAGATTCTGGCTGGCTCGGGTTACTGCAAGTGGTTTAATGTCCGAATGGGGTTTGGATTTATATCGATGACCAGCAGCGAGGGGAAGCCAGTGGACCCTCCACTAGATGTGTTCGTTCACCAAGTAAGTCCAATAATGCATGTGCTGGGTTTCAGCCGTTCAGCTCCTCTGACTATTTTTCACGTTATATGTCGCATCTCATTGACATCAGCAGCAGATGTGCTCGAGGAAAGCAGAAGTAAACATGCGCTTGTGTTTTCATCCTCTGTCACTTTAAGAACGCCAAAAACGCATCTTCACTCTCCATTGATATCACCAGACGAACGGCGTATTAGTAGTAAACACGGAGGCATTTACGATGCAGCTCTTAAAGGTACCTTTATTAGGAAGAGAAAAGAGAGAGTAGCCCGTGACATTGGTTTCTATTCGCCGCATGCTCACAGGAACATGTCTGATAAACCTGCCAACATGTCGGAAAACGTGTCACACACGAAGATCAGACGGCGTTCACAACCAGACTTTTCAAGAATGGCAAGCGATTTCGGTGTGAACTGTTGTACTGAACATCATGTGCTCTCGTGTTTACATGGGTGTAGTTCAGCCCCCCTTTCACAATATTTCGTCTTATGGACATTCAGAGCTAAATCAATATGGACGCATGTACTAAACCGGAAATTATCTCCTTTCATCATTTTCCAGGCTTTCCACGGCACCTTAAAATAGCATACGCAGACTTAAAGAACAAAAGCAGAGGTTTCTTCTGAGTTCTATTAGCACTCAAGCTCACTGCACTGTTGTTTTGCTGCTTTCTGTTACATTGTGTTCTTGTTATCTGTTGGTGATAATATTGTCGAGCAGTGTTATGTTTACTGCTGGATGTTAATGAGATGTTAAAATGATTCCTGGGACTTAACATTTCCATTGTTACAAAACACATCTGCATAATCCTTTAAATCTGAAATTCAATAACATAACAGCTAGTTTGCACAGGAAACAAGTGGCTATCTATCCATCTATCCATCCATCTATCCATCTATCTATCTATCTATCTATCTATTTTTTTTTAAAGAATTTAAAACCGTGTAAATATCTCTAGTTATTAAAATCACAGTTGTGCAATCTTTTCTCGAATTCAACAATGTTTTAATAATCTTTTATTATGATGTAACCAAATTACAATTGCTGAAAACCATTTTTAAGTAAAAGAGATTTTGCTTTATGTATTTATCTTGTGATTAAGTGTTTTTATGGATATATTAGACAAATTGTTTTGTTTAAAAATACAATTTTGTTGAACTAGAGTATAAAATTTGAATTAGCACAGTTAAGGAAATTGATAGCAGGCATTCTAAATATGTACAGAATTATTTGAAGTGATTTTAAACGGGCAGTTTTACATTGTTATACAAAATCTTTTTGAGGCAAATTTCATTCATTTTTTATTTAAATTTCGATTTTGTGTGGAAATGAATTTTTGTGCATGAGCTTAAACATGAACCTCTTGTGCTAGTAGCCCCTAAACCTGAGTGCATTCTGGGAAATGCAGTTCTCAAAAAAGACAAACAGCAGCCAGATACACAGTCAGACTGTTATGTGTGCCATTGAGTTTAATAACATACTGATAGCTTATCTAATATATATA